TGCACACATTTTCTATTGTAGAAATAATTTTCAAATCTATTTTGTCAAAATACTGACAAGAATGTATATATAATACTGTAATTATTTGTCTCTTTATTGACTTACATATTTATTGTTTTGATGGGATTAAGTATGAAATCTTTTTGTTTTATATTTTTCTTTGTTAGCTATTTCTAGGGATTGCATACTTTTTTTTTTTTAACTAGTATTTTTGAGCATCTACTTTGTGCTGGATTCTTCAGATACTATAGTGAATAAACTGGACATAGCCTCTGAACTCAAGGAAATCATTTTACATTTCTCATGAGTGTGCCTAAAGAACTCTAATTATTCTTTTAGGTATTTTTCGAGGACAGGTTCTTCTTTTGCCCAGGGAAAATGTATAGATAAATTCATTTATTTTAGCAATTCCCAACAGACATTCCATATTTCTTCCAGAAATGAAAAAAAAAAATCATAAATAAACTTTGTGACCATGGAAAATATGGAGTTTCTTTTTTAAGTCATTGATGTTTTATATATGTAAATATAGGTTTTTTATATATATACATATATATAATTGCACCTTTTTAGTTGACTTGCTAAGACCAAAATCCAAGTTTTCTAATGCCTGCTGCTGCTGCTGCTAAGTCGCTTCAGTCGTGTCCGACTCTGTGCGACCCCATAGACAGCAGCCCACCAGGCTTCCCCCGTCCCTGGGATTCTCCAGGCAAGAACACTGGAGTGGGTTCTAATGCCTAGAGAGTGCTTTTCAGCCACTAAGGTTTCTAATTCGATTCCTCAGGTAGTAGTCTCAAACTTTCCTGTGCAGAAAACTCAGCTGGGACATTTGCCTGAAAGAGATCTGGAGATGACCTAGGAATTTGCACTTTTAATAAAACACAAGGTCCTGGACCGCTGTGTCTTATGACAGCCGTGGATAGACTTCAGGTGGTCCTGTTTAGCCCTGAAGCTATGACTACATGATTTTTTTTTTTCAATAAGAGAGTCTAGGAGAATTTTGAAGACTTCCGTTAGTTTCTCAGAAAAGCCTGAAGAATAACAAGATGCTATATGGCATCATCGACCCACTGGACGTGGGTTTGAGCAAGCTCTGGGAGATCGTCCTTCCCTGAAGGACAGGGAAGCCCAGCATGCTGTAGTCCATGGGGTTGCAAGGACTCAGATACCGCTGAGTGACTGAACAGCGGCAGCAGTTGGGAGCAAGAGTTTACAAGTGGGAAAAGCAGCAACAGAAACCCACAGTGAAAGGCCTAAAAGGTGGGGAGACCCTACAAAGGCAGCTGAAGGTACTCAGGTGGGATTGTAATCCAGACCCCAGAACAGTGTCCCCTCAGCCGCTGTTTGAGAAAATCTCAGAAGCTGAAAAATCTTAGAAGTTGACTGACATGTTGGTGAACTGGTGTTCGTTGGTCAAAAAAGCTTGACAAACACTAAATCTTTAATATTTTTAATTTATTATAGAACTGCATAGACTTTAGTATACTAATGTGCACTGTGAGTAACTTTTGTTTTATTTTCTTTGGCCATGGCTTGTGAAATCTTAGTTCCCCTAGATCAGGGATTACTGAACCCAAGCCCCTAACCACTCCACTACCAGGGAACTCCTTGTGAATCCCTTTAGAGAACATTTAGTATGTAGTAATTCCCGAATCTATCTGATCATAGAACCCTTTTCCAATGCTTATGTCTTTTGAGAAATGCCTTTAACAGAGGGAAGGACACTAGTCTCTGAGTGCGGCATAGAAATAAGTAACTTTCTTCAAAACCTTGTCATGAAGAAAAGTTTAAAATGTGTCCTTAATATTCTAAATAATAGATAGAATTTTATATTTTAGAAAAAAAATTATTAAAATGTCTGGAGAGGCGGGAAAGGCCCTCAGCTATATAGTTATTTTTTATTTTTTACATGATCTTATTCGTTGTTAGTTGATGGTGAATTTAATAATGTCATGCTCTAAAGTGGAAATTTAGTTTTTTTCTTCATATTTTTCTTAGGATTTAGGAGAAATTTGTATTTCCTAAGAATCTTGGAGTTCATTCTATAATAAAACAACAATCCTTATTTCATATATTTTATAACTGTAATTGGTGGCCAACTAGACATAGTTGCCTGTGTGTAAACATTTATGTCCCAAATTTCTTGAAGTAAGACAGTTCCACAGTGATAAAACAAAAAACCAAATAGGTAAAGACCAGATCAGCTCAAAGGGGGAAAGCAAACTCCTGGATTGATTGCATACAGACAAGGTTTTATGGAGAGGTGACTTGGAGGAGAGGAGCAAATTGAAACTTGAAAGAAAGAAAAGGAGATCAATTTAGTGAGTGCAAAAGTAGAAGGAACTCCTACTGGGGAAAACCCCATCCTAGTGTGGTTAACAGAGAAACATAGATATGCTTGGGCAGATAGAAATCATGAACTGAGGTGTGATGATTAAAACAGTGTTGTTAGATATTGTCGGGAAGAATCAGCTTCAGCATCAGTCCTTCCAATGACTATTCAGGATTGATTTCCTTTAGGATTGACTGGTTTGATCTCCTTGCAGTCCAAGGGACTCTCAAGAGTCTTCAACACCTCAGTTTGACAGCATTGATTCTTCAGTGCTCAGCCTTCTTGATAGTTGTCTAAATCAGAAAACTAACAGTTTTGCAATAAATAGCATTAAGTTGTAGACCTCACTCAGTTCAGTACAGTTCAGTCACTCCGTCGTGTCTGACTATTTGCGACCCCATGGATATAATTCTTTGGTGCTCAGCTTTCTTTCTAGTCCAACTCTCCATCCATATGTGACTACTGGAAAAACCATAGCTTTGACTGGACGGATCTTTGTTGGCAAAGTAATGTCTCTGTTTTTAACATGCTGTCTAGGTTGGTCATAACTTTTCTTTCAAGGAGCAAGCGTCTTAATTTCATGGTTGCAGTCACCATCTGCAGTGATTTTAGAGCACCCGAAAATAAAGTCTCTCACTGTTTCCATTGTTTCCCTGTCTATTTGCCATGAAGTGATGGGACCGGATGCCATGATTTTAGTTCTCTGAGTTTTAAGCTAACTTTTTCACTCTCCTCATTCATTTTCATGAAGAGGCTCTTTAGTTTTTCTTCGCTTTCTGCCCTAAGTGTGGTGTCATCTGCATATTAGAGGTTATTGATGTTTCTCCCAGCAATCTTGATTCCAGCTTGTGCTTCATCCAGCCCAGCATTTCGCATGATGTACACTGCATATAAGTTAAATAAGCAGAGTGACAGTATTCAGCCTTGATGTACTCCTTTCCTGATTTGGAACCAGTCTGTTGTTTCATGTCCAGTTCTAACTGTTGCTTCCTGACCTGCATGCAGATTTCTCAGGAGGCAGGTCAGGTGGCCTGGTATTCCCATCTCTTGAAGAATTTTCGACAGTTTGTGGTGATCCACACAGTCATAGGCTTTGGCATAGTCAATAAAGCAGAAGTGGATGTTTTTCTGAAACTCGTGCCTTTTCAGTGATCCAACAGATGTTGTCTATTCGATCTTTGGTTCCTCTGACTTTTCTAAATCCAACTTGAACATCTGGAAGCTCACAGTGCACACACTGTTAAAGCCTGGCTTGAAGAACTTTGAGCATTACTTTGCTAGTGTGTGAGATGAGTGCAATTGTGCGGTAGTTTGAACATTCTTTGACATTGCCTTTCTTTGAGATTGGAATGAAAACTGACCTTTTCCAGTTCTGTGCCCACTGCTGAGTTTTCCAAATTTGCTGGCATATTGAGTGCAGCACTTTACAGCATCATCTTTTAGGATTTGAAAGAGCTCAACTGGAATTCCATCACCTCCACTAGCTTTGTTCATAGTGATGCTTCGTAAAGCCCACTTAACTTCGCATTCCAGGATATCTGGCTCTAGGTGAGTGATCACACCATCATGGTTACCTGGGTCATGAAGATCTTTTCTGTATAGTTCTTCTGTGTATTCTTGCCACTTCTTAATATCTTCTGCTTCTGTTAGGTTCATACCATTTCTGTCCTTTATTGAGCCCATCTTTGCATGAAATGTTCCCTTGGTATCTCTAATTTTCTTGAAGAGATCTCTAGTCTTCTATTGTTTTCCTCTATTTCTGTGCATTGATCAGTTAGGAAAGCTTTCTTATCTCTCCTTGCTGTTGTTTGGAACTCTGCATTCAAATGGGAATATCTTTCCTTTTCTCCTTTGTCTTTTGCTTCTCTTCTTTTTTCAGCTATTTGTAAGGCCTCCTCAGACAGCCATTTTGCCTTGTTAATTTCTTTTTTGGGGAGATGGTCTTGACCACTGCCTCCTGTACAATGTCACGAACCTCCATCCATAGTTCTGCAGGCACTCTATTAGATGTAATCCCTTGAATCTGTTTGTCACTTCTGTATAATCGTAAGGGATTTGATTTAGGTCATTCCTGAATGGTCTAGTGGTTTTCCCTACTTTCTTCAAAGGTCTTCCTTACGCAGATGTCACCAAATTACCCTAATAATGCTCTTTATAATAAGATAAAATACTGATCATGTATTGATTTCAGTTGCCATATCTTTTTAGACTTCTTTTGACTAGAATATTTCCTAGTCTTTGTGTTTCCTGACATGACACTTTTGAGGAATACATCAGTTATTTGGTAGACAGTGCCTCAGTTTAGGTTTATCTTATACTTCCTTGTGACTAGATTCAAATTATGCCATACCTTAAAAAAAAAAAAGAATTGTGTAAAATATGATTTTACAACAACAAATCACATTTCCTGTTAATAACGCTGCACCATTTAACATAATTACTTAATTGTCATATTTGCATCAAAACAATACACTTATCTCTAGCTTCCCAGCAGGGGAACAGAGAATGATTCTCCTAGGAGATTTTATGTGTATTTACTAAAGAACAAGCTTGATTTAATCATTAAGGATTTTGTTGATTTTGATGGCTTAAGGAGTCATGGATTGTTCTAATATTGAATAAGAAAGCATATGACATGTTCAATAGTATTGATCTACTCTTTTTACAGTTACTCCTGAATACCCACAGAAAGGAAGAAACTTTTTCCTCACCTTAGATGAACTCAAGTTCTTATCACAGCTAGTAAAATCACTTTTGAAGTTGGAAAAAAATGTCCAGGAGTTGTTTGAAGAAATGTTCTTATGGCTCAGGATACCCAGGAACACTTCAGGTAAAATACTCTTCTGCACATCTATAATTCTTTGTGTTTTTGCCCCCTGCTAATTGAATCTATACCATTACCTGAAAAACAGAATATATGTGGTAGAATTTTAAAAATAAATATTAAGTATAAAGCACACTGTGAAATTACATTTTTATCCTTTGTATGTTAACAGTGGATTAAGAAATTCATTGAATAGTTTGAATTAAGAAGTCGTCATAAGTAAATCTTGCATCATTATCTTTAGCTAAAATTAGATCAACATTTTTTTTAAACTCAAAGAAACACAACCTGGCCTATGGAAAGAACAAGCACACTGGATGATCTAGTAGCACCTTTTTTTGTTGCTAGCAGCCTGATGACCTTGAGCAAAATATTTAGTTTCCTTAGACTACCATTTTCTCACCTTTAAAATGATAGTATAGGACTAAATCAAGTTTTTCTTTGTTTTCTTTCAGAATTTGTTACTTTAGATTCCAATATACTATGTAGAATTTTGAGAATTAAATGCTTTAATGAATGTAAAATATTTAAGAGAATGTCTAGCATATCATAAGCAATAAATGTGAGTTGTTACCATTGTAATTATAATTATACAATAAGTTGTTTTTAGCTAGTCTTAACAGAATTCTTTTGAAAAAACCGTGCTATGTGTGTTCGAATACTGTTTCTAACATTAAAGGTAGAATTCAGAGGCACAATGGGTTAAGATATGTTTTCTGTTTTCATATCTATGTTTATAAAGGTTTTCATCTATATTGGAGTGAGTTATCCGAAGTTCTATTTTACATAATGCAACATGTTATTTTAAAGAGAATAAATGTAAATAGTGGCTGCATTTGCAGAACAAAGTCAGGGAAGCAAGTGATTAACAATTAATCTACAAATTGCAAAACCAACTTCCAAACCTGATTTCTTAGTGAAGAATTACATTTAGTTTAATGTATTTACCTTTGTATTTCTTTATTTACCTAGCCTCGGCAGATAATGTTAGAAAAGTTATAGGACTGGAGTTTACTTTATATTAAGCATAGCTTACTGGCCTTCTATGTTTCAGGTTAAGCTTAAATAGCACTATTAAATCATAAAATAAATAATGTAGATCATTTCCCCCCCTGCCAAATTTGGTTGTCGTTTGAAAAAATATGGAATATAGATTTCTGAATCTGACAAAAATCAAACAAGGAAATAATAAAAACATAGAACAGATATGAAAATTAAAAATCAGAATGAAAGGTTAGATTTATTAGGAGGTAATGTGAGCCCTAAGGATCTAGAGGATTCTTAGATCTAGAGGATCTAAGGGGATCTTCTAGATGCAACTGACCAGATCAAAGAGAGATCTGAATAGAGAAATATGATATTCTAATTTTTTATTGACAGGTTGGTGCCACAAGCAGTTGACACTTGCTGTTGGTACTCACCCATCAGGCCCAGCTAGATTTGGCATCTCTCCTCCACATCTCTTGTAGATCTTTTCTGAGGTGTGGATTAAGAAACAGGGTGAACTCCAAAGTATCTCGACCCCTCTCCATTTTGATTCCTCTTATATGCATCCTAGGCAAGACCCTTGAGATAACTCAATTCTGAGAACTTAATTCTTCTTAAGGGAAGCATAAATTCAAAGCTACAATTGTGTAAGAGAGGTATTGTAATGATATAAAACTTAAATAGCCAAGAACTGAAGCAAAGATTTGATATACTGATTTCAGGAAAAAGGAAAAAAAGAAAAAGCTGGTTCAACAGCACTGGATTGAGATCAAGCAATATTGAGACTTGCAAATGCTGTGCATGAGAGCAATGCTTAGGTTCATTGAATAAAGTCAACAGAGAAAATATATAATTATGCCACAATATAGTGAGTGAGTGAGTGAGTGAAAGTCTCCTAGTTGTGTCCGACTGTGACCCCATGGACTGTAGCCCGCCAGTCTCCTCTGTCCATGGGATTCTCCAGGCAAGAATACTGGAGTGGGTTGCCACGCTCTCCTGCAGGGGATCTTCCTGACCCAGGGATCAACCCTGTATCTCCTGCATTGCAGGCAGATTCTTTACCATCTGAACCACCTGGGAAGTCTTACCCCAAATTTGTCACCACCTAAACAGTGTGGCAGATAAAAGAAACTTCAGTATCATATTAATAATGTTTATTATAGAAAGACATTTGTAGGTTATCAAACATAGTACATGGAAGGAAATTTGAAGAATGACTGTAAGAAATGTCTAAGTATTAGAACATCTCCTTGTGAAATATGTGTTCTTCATTCGTATATTTTTGTAACAAAGCCAAGATTTAATCTGACATGACTTCACGTAAATGACTTCCTGAAAAGAATGATCTTGAGGGAAATCTTTAAGAAAAAATTTAAATCTTTTATTCAGTGTAGCCACATTAATCAATTCATATCAAAAGACTTGGCTTCTTAAATCCCGAAGGAAATGGTTTTTGAACGATTAAAAAAATCAAATGAATCTTAGGTTATCCTGAGAGTTAATGTTTTGCTTAGAAAGCTTGTGTGGGAGAGAAGGTGGTTCAGATCAAGTCATTTGGTTTTTGTGTATTTTTTTTGATTGGAGCATATTTTGCTAATAAAGATCTTGGACAGAGTTGCCTACTATGTCTATGTAACCAAAACAATATGATGAAAAATAAGGTTTTTTTATTCCTTGTCCAGATGTTTTAAAAATATCCAGGTGTTTAACATCACACAGAGAAAATATAAAGATGATTAACCGTATGTTTTACTCTTTTACTTTGATGTTAACTACTATATTGTATATTTAGCCAAATTGGCAGTACTTTTAGGAATTTGAATTTGACACAATAGATTTTTGTGTCAAGACACATTTTCTGAGAAAGAAGGGATATTTAGTTATGATATTTACTTGCTTTTGTTTGGTCATGATTTGATGGTTTTCTCTTTTGGTCCCTTCAGAAAAATGATATGACATTATTTGACTGCTGTGGTATCTTACTGTATTTCTTTTAGGTCATCTTATCTTATGGCGTGGCCTCAGGTTTAATTCATGGAGCGCTTCTAATGCTCCTTCAGAATAAAGCTGTTCTTCGGGCAGTTCCTCAAATTTTCCAAAGGTGGCATCTGAGATTTATCTAAACCAGGAGGTTTCTTGGCCCTCATTTTTTCTTTAGCCCCAGCAATGACAAAGAGCAATGGCTGCTTCAATTGGATGTAAGAAGAACACTTAGGGTTTGTCTCAGAAGAATCAAAGATTTCAGATCTTCTGAAAGATTGTTTGTACTCTTAGGGGGTCTTAAGAGGGGTCAAATGGCTTCTAAGAGTTCCTTAGCTAGATGGTTACGGGCTTGTATTAGGGAGGCGTATGTAGTTAAGGTAAAGAGGCTCCTAGGGTTTGTAAAGCTCATTACACTAGGACTTTAGCTGTTTCTTGGGCAGAGAGGTCGAAGGCTTCCACATTGGAAATTTGCAAGGTGGCCACCTGGGCTTCTGTTCATACTTTTCATAGTATTATCTCTTGGATGTAGTCTCTTCTACAGATTCAGCTTTTGGTGGGAGGTTGCTTGTGAGCCAGAAAAGAACAGTGAAGAAAAGAAAGACTTGTAGTTCCCACTCAGAGCTGCCAACAAGGCAAGTTGCTTTGTAGTGCACACAATGGGAGCCTATGAAGACCAATTTGGGTGTGAAAGTGGATGTCACAGAGAAGTACTGCCAACCTCTACTCTCTATGAAAGAAAGCAGCAGTGTGGAAGCTAACCAGAAGTGTAAAATGAACCACAGCGAGCTCCGTAGGGAGAGGCTGTTCTGCAGCTGGCATCCCTGTTACCCTCTGCACTCTACTGACGGCCTTAATCTGGGCATGCTCTTAAGGAAACCACTGTTGATTGCGTGCAAATAACTACGCTTTAAAACGATGAGCCAAAAATGGGCTACCTTTTCTAGACAATGTTAATAAATGTATAGAATGTCCAGTATTAATTTTAGATAGGTGAAATAATTTATCAAATGTTCAAAGAGCTCATAACCTTTGACAGTGTCAAATTTTGAAATTGACCATTTTGAATTCCAAACAAAAATAAAAATGCCACAATCTGTTAAAATCGTGAGATACCCTACTAGTCTAGATTCAGTGTTACTAATCCTGCCTTAAAATAATCCTTTTGGCTTCTCTGTATAGGATTAAATTTTTAAAAATCTTTTTAATTGGGAGGGGGGAAGATTATGCTATATAGGTTATCATAACTGCTCAATAATTCTTTTTCTATCTTACTATAGAATTGCTCACCAGCAAAAGAAGTCTTGGGAAGCTTATCTTATTTTTTAATTCATTTTGAAAATAGGCAGATGGTTTTTGTAAACATCAAAGCCCATTACTTTGAGTGAATAAACATAATGTATTTGGAAATGAAATGATAAATACAAGATAATTAAACTTTTTCATGTTTTAAACTATAGCTACACAATGACAAATAGTTATTTCCAAGAATAGATCTGTAAAACTTGTACTTTGAATTAATGTTATTTTTCCAGGGTAACTATCTTTTACATCAGTTGTTTTTATGATCTATTTGTAGAAAAGTAAAGTAACATTAGAATCCAAGTGTTACCTCTTCATGTCATTGACAACTTGATCTTTATTATTTTTTCTTTTTTAAAAAATATTTTTTGAATAATAGTCCAGGCATACAGTAAAATTTTTAAACAAGTTAAAAGAATATATGGTTAAAATGAAGTCTTTTTCCAATCGACTTGAAAAATAACACAAATCATGTCATACTCTACAGAAATCCTTTTTTATTAACAATTATGTAGAAACACCTCATATTGAGAAAAACAGCTGAATAGTTTTCTATGGCTGTATGTACCATAATCACCTACACATTGTTTTTTTCTTCTTCATTTTGCTTCCACAAACAATGATGTGGCAAATTTCTTTGAACTATGTCTTATGTGTCCTCATGTATATCTGGACAGTAGTTTTCTAAAGTGGAATTGCCAAGTAAAAAGCAATGATCATAGAGAGGATGAAAAGGCAAGACATAAATTGAGAAAAATATTTGCAAAATACACATCTGATAAAGGTCGTGTATACAAAATATACAAAGAACTCTTAAAATTCAACAGGACAACAACAAAACTCAGTTTAAAAATAAGCAAAAGATCTGGAGAGCTCACCAGAGAAGATATACAGATGGCAAATAAGCATATGAAAAGATGCTCAGCATCATATGTCATCAGAGAAATGCAAATTGAAACAAGGAGATACCATTATGCTCCTACTAGAGTGGACAAAACCCAGAATACTAACACCACCAAATTCTAGCAAGGATGTGAAGCAACAGGAACTCTCATTCATTGCTAATAGGAATGTAAAATAGTATATTCTGGATGGTATTGTTTTATCTTATAAAGCTAAACATTGTCTGACATGATCTAGTAATCACACCCCTAGGTATTTATGCAAATGAGTGAAAACATGTCCACACAAAAACTAGTAATGAATGTTTATAACAGTTTTATTCTTAATTGCCAAAAATCAGAAGCAGCTAAGTTGTCCTTCAGTAGATCAATGGATAAACTGTGGTACGTCAATACATTGGAATATTATTTAGTGATTTTTTTTTTTAAAGAGGTATCAAGCCACATAGAAACATGGAGAACTTAAATGCAACCTAAATGTATGTTGCTAAGTGAAAGGAACCAATTTGAAAAGCCTACATACTATACTATTCCAACTGTAAGACAACCTGGTAAGCAAAAGTATAGAGACAATAAAAGATCAGTGGTTGCTAGGGAGAATACAAAGGAGAGGAAAGGTATTATAGGTATAGCACAGGTGATTTTCAGAGCAGTGAAACTAATACGTGTGATACTAATGGTGGATGCGTGACCTTATGCATTTGGCAAAACTGTAGACCTGCACAACACAAAAAAATGAACCCTAATGTAAATTATGGGCAAACTTAAAAAATTGTTTAGCTAATAATAATCTATCAGTGTTGGTTCATCAGTTGTAACAAATATCCCACCCCAAATTAAGATGTGAACAGTAGGGGAAACTGAGGGCAGAGCGAGAGGAAGTATATGGGAACCATGCACTTTCTGCTCAAATTTTCTAGAAAACTAAAACTGCTCAAAAAGCTAAAGTCTATTAATTTTTTTTAAAGTATGCACATTGAGAGAGAATTCTGAGCCAGTTTGTCATATCTATTTCAACTAACAGTATTTTTGTTACACAGAATTGTTTTACAGCTTCTCTGTCCTTCTGAAAAGTCTCTACCTTGTATCTTTTGAAAAAAAAATCCATATTTTCTTTAATAACCTTTTAGTTTCATTTTTCTTTTTTAAAAAATCTGCTTAATCTGGATTTTATTTCAGCATTGAAACTGATCCTTATTAATGACACTATCTTCTGCAAAAGATGTAATAAAACGTGAGCCACAGAGAAAGCATTTTAGGTTAAATGGTGTAACACTGATCTAAAACCTCATCTATGTTGTGATGTGTGTTGAGAAATGAAGCAGGATTCCTCAACTGCAGTCCACGGCCCCTTGAGGACCATGAATGTGTTTTATAAGAATGCCTGGGAATCTCCGTAACACGTGTGAGTGTGTGTGCATGCACACCATCATATTGTGTATTTTGGATGAAGTGTTCTGTCACTTTAATCAAGTTCTCAGAAGTGTTCACAAATCCAAAATGATTTAGAAACACTAGAATTGAGGGAAACTTTTCCTCAGACAAAATTTCTCAAAAGGATGTTATCAACTACCAGATGGAATATTTACCTCTTAAGAGAATGTTTCTGTGAATTGTATTACTTAGGAATCATTCATAATTAAGCTCATAGAACCATATATAGAAAAAACAAATAAAAACCCCACATATTTTCTTCATGACTATACTTGTCAGGAGGAGCCCTACTGATAAGAATCACTGATATTTGGAAATTTGTTTGCCCCAGATATAAGGAGAAAATGCCTCTTAAGATGATTAAAATAAAAGAAAAATTGATCATGGTGTACCATTCATCATCATATATCAAATCTAAGTGAAACCAAGAGATAATTGCTAAGTCATTCGTATCAAATGAAACTATAATTACTAGAACTATAATAGAAAATGGAAATACTTCTTTTTGGCATATTTATTCATTACAGTTTGGTATATTTTTTTCCCATGGAAAGAATTTTTTAATTCTAAAAAGTGAAAGTTGAGGGAATAATTTCATTTTTTTAGTTTCCATTTTAGAAGCTAGAGATCATTTCTTATCTGTCTCAGTGTTTGTGTTTTTCCAATGAGTTATTGATAAATTCGTTAAGAGTATAACTTTTCTTGATATTCTGGTGTTTATCCAACATGCCTTTGTTCTCATTTTAAAATAAGAAATATTAATGTGTTAAAGAAGACCACCAGCTTTTAAAGTAGTACTTTGGCATTTAACATTTTAAATGAACAAGGAAATTAATATTTAGTTTGTACTCAATTTATCCTACATTATTAAAGTGAAAATGAATTAATTATAAAAGGATATGATTTTTACAGATTATATATACATGCATGTACATCAAACATGAATATAAATAGCCTATAAATTCCATCCAGTTGTATGTATAGAAGAAGACTCTGTATTTTGATTCTGTCACTATCATAATGGAGATATCAGCCTACATCTTTTAGACTATGTTCTTTGTATCTTGATGTGTGTGTGTGTGTGTGTGTGTGTGTGTGTCTGTATTGTGGATAGAACTTTTTCTACATAATTACTAACTTTAACCTACTGATCACAATGGTTTGTTTTCCTTAATGTATGTTTGTGTGTTTATTTCCTTTTCTATTGTGTAGGAATTTGGGAGACATCCAGTAGAGAATTTGTAATAGAGAAACCTAGAACAAATGAGACCAGAATTCCTTCAGAGCAGCTGCTACCAGTAACAGAGGTAAGTGAAGAGAAAAATGAGTGGTGGTTTTTTCCTCATATTTAATAACATCCTCATTTTCCTGTGACTCCATTATGAATCAGAACATCTTGATTTTTATCCATTGCTACTAAAAAAATAATAATTCCTGGTTGAAAATTGACTTGCAAATTTAGATGAAAATTGAATTTAGTAGGAACACTGCTCTATTGCACAATGTGTTCCATGGAAGCAGTAGGGAGCTGGCAGTGAAGAGGTCTTTGTTCTCATCCCAACTCACAGATTACACCTTGAGAGTCTGGACAAGTCATAGACAATTGTTGAAAAGTGACAAAGTGGTAATTAAAAAGGGAAGGAACAAGGAAAGAATAGTTTAAACTGGCCTCTTATTTTAGTGTGCCCCACAGGTCCCTGTTTTTTCTCAGATCCATCATCACTCTTCCTCTAGTCCATTCTGTATTTTAGAGAAAAACATCCTCTGGGTTTTCTTGCTGTCTGGACCTGGGAAGGCCTGGCCAGTGAAAAGCACCGAGGGGAGACTGGAGGGTAGATGTTGGAGAGAAATCAGGGGATTCCTCCCCCTCGCTCTGTGTTGGGGAACATTTCCAAGAGTAGCTGTGACTCCTTCTCCTCCTGCACGCTTCTCCCCACATACAGTCCTCTCTCTGGTTTCTGGTCCACAGGGCAGGTCGGCCCCTTTCACTCATTGTGACATTGTGGGATCTTTAGTGGCAGCATGCAGAATCTCCTAGTTGTGATGTGCAAACGTTTAGTTGCAGCATGTGAGATATAGATCCCTTACTAGGGATTGAACCTGGGCTCCCTGCATTGGGAGCATGAAGTCTTAGCCACTGGACCACCAGGGAATCCCTATACATCGTGTTTTAATAAAAAATCAGAGTAGATATTAAGAAATTAGCATTAGGTGATAGAAGAAAGGGATTTGCTGGGATGCTCCTTGGCACACAGAACAGAAAACCATATTATTTCCTCTTCTTTCTTTGATCAACTAGTGAATGTTCTGCATTCTAACTGGAATGTCTGTGATTCCAGACATCAGTGGGAAGAGTAGAAGTAAGCCAGTGATGTCTTATGTAAATAAATAGGCTTCTAGGAGATTTGAGTAGTAAATGTTTTCAGTTTTCTTTTTAAGAGCAGCTATTAATGTTCTTGCTTTTCCATATTTTGAAAAGATACCTTCAAAGGTATTAAAATCACATATAAATGACCATGGACAAAGGTAATCATTATGGCACACACACATCACCACAAAGTCACTGTGACCATGGCAATTAATGGCAATTTTCCCCATAACATATTTCCTTGAGTGCATGAATGAATGATTTTAATGAATAGACATTCCCTGGTGTGGGAACAAAAAAGCAGAGTTTTATTGTTGTTGTTAATTTTTATGAAGATAGGTTTCTTTTCATATTTCTATCATAAACGTGTCTCAAGAAAATACCTATTGGCACAGGACTATACACATGGCACTTGCAAAGTTTCACTTAGGAGAAAAGAAACTATATGAGCTGAGTAGATTCAATGGTTGATTCATTTTATGTAATAAAAAGATGAGAGGTATATCTTTAAGCAGGCCCTATGATGCTAAAGGTCCAAACTTTAGAAAGAATATGAAAATTACATTTAATTATAGGCATGATGAGAAGGAGAGCCACTTTTACTGATTAGGGAGTTAGGGAATCATAGAATTTTAGCTCTAGAAGATAAATCACCTTTATTTGTTCTGCATATACAAAAAGCATTAGATTAATGCTTAGTGAGAATTTTGTATACAAGAAAATTAAGCTAATGATCATAATCTCAGTAATTTTAGACTGAAAGGAACTATAGAAATCATTCGATTCAGCTCTTTTATTTTTCTAACAAAAAACTTGAGATCCAGAAAAATAAGTAATTCAGTTAGAAATATCAAGCCTAGAGTCTTCTGAAGTTGGGGGTAGGTAAATTGCTGTTAGCAAGATCACACTAAAGAAGGAAAAGTTTAGTACTAAGCATAGATTCAGCCTACTATCCATAATATATTTACACGTTAGAGAATATTAGAGGGCTTGAGGGAAATATCCATTTGTAAATATATTGCCACAAGAGCCAAAGACCAAAAGAAAAACAAAAACAACACCAGCCTCCACGCCAGCCTTTCCCACTGCCCACATAGAGAGCAATGCAAATTATTTTAATTCCTCATTTTCTGGAACAAAAGTAGTGATGCTTGCCACTTTGTGGGTGGAGAAACAAAATAAAGCTCTCCAGCAATAAAAATGTAGAAACATGTAGTGGTATATTTTCTCCAAGAAATTTATTTCTTATTGCTATTTTTTTGGCTTGTCTGGATTTCTGTCAGTGAAAAAGAAATAAAAGATTGAATATTAAGTGCTGTCTTATGTCGCAATACTTGTTAACAATAAACTATAAAAAAGACTATAAAAATCTAATTTAGACTTTATTAAATATATTGAATTTAAAGGTTGCTTTACGTGATAAATAGTAAGTGGAACTTTCAGCTCTCATAAAGATGGTTTTATTGAACTATATTTAAGAAATTAAATTTTGAAAAAAAGTTTTTGATTAAATCCACTGATGAATTAAATTGAAATGTCAGTATATTACTGTGTGTAAAGAATGCACATGTTTTGTATATTGCTTTATTCACTGAGTAATATTTTTAGGTTATAAGAATGGCTTTTACAGTTTATCAAAGAATACCTATATTCAACATGCTGAATGAAAGTAATGCTTTTATATCTATAACACTAGAAACATTTGTTGTTAAGATTAATATAACTGCATATAAATTTATATTTCAGGCTACTTTATTAGATTTTGGCTGGAGAAGTGCATTTATAAAAGTATCTCTTCCCACGGCACATTGTATAACAACAGCCATTGAAGATTTTTCTGCAAAGATTCTCCAGCAGGAACAGAATGAAAGGTCTTCAACTCTGAGCTATGCTTTGAACCTTGTAAATGTCCAGCAAGTTTGGCAAGATAGCTATGTGGTTCCTGAAGCAGACCAACCAAAGAAAATTGCAAAGGCAAGTGTTAAATCAAATCCTTTCAAATTAGACTGGCATATGAGATTTTTTCTTCATATAAACCATTGCAAAGGGAACCAACAGAAAAATGATGGGATCTCTTGGGAAACCCTTGGCACTTGACCCAGTACCATGTTTTTCTAGTATCCATGGACCACTGTGCTAACAAAAAGGACTTAAACCTGCTGCCAACTTTTTGCTCCATGAATCTGAAGCAACTAAAGAGAGGGCCTCTGTGACTTCCTGAGGACCTGGGAAACTGCCTGTTTGGGTGATACCTTTGAATGACCACCCCCCAGGAGAAACTTAGGAGGTTGAAGGAGTTGTTGTCTTTTATCAGTCTGGGCAACCTTTAAATCTTGACTTACACCTTAGTAAGCATTCCATTAGCATCTGTCTTACATCTGTGTTTTGAGAGTCACAGAACATAGTGAGAAAACAGAAAGTAGTTGTGGAAATGGAGAAATGTAGTTACTCAATATTAAGTCTACGGTGGGGTCAGCAACCCATCATTGAAATGTTTTTGAAAGAGAGTTTTCAAAAGTGACCTTAATCCCCCACTGCTACCTGAAGCTTCAGAACATTCCCCAGAAACACTGTTGGCCTCTCTGGAGAAGAGGCAAGTGAGTCTTTTCATCCATCCATCCATCATACCTTCTTTGCTGTTAAGAAGGAGTAAATTCATAGTAACTAGTGAAACACTAGGCACATCACTCCTAAAAGTTGCTTACTCTATCAATAAGAAAATGCTACATGAGATTGCTTCTGATGCTCTTAGATTATTTAAGTTAAACTGATACAGCTTCATTTATATGGGGTGATTAATTAAAAAAAAATAAAAACTTTTATGATAGTTTAGCAAAAAAAAAAAAACCAGGGAGTAAGTTAAAAATAATGTAATCATGGATACATATTTTCTGAGTTCAATTAACTACAAATAAAAGTATTATCATGGAAAGCTATTTCATGAGTTTTTCATAATGTCTCTCTAGCAAGCATAAGGTTTCAAGTTTACATAGAGAGAAGTATCATTTTGGTATTTCTTTATTTGACATAAAACATTTAACTTTCTACCACTGAGACATCGATTATTATAAAGTTGTGTCATTATATTTATGTTTGATGCCAAATTCATTATTTTGGAATTTAGTCTCCTGTACATAAATTACATGGCACTGTCAGAATACAAATAACTCAGTGCTACATTTATTTCTCCCTAGTTTTGTTCTGACATCATGGAAAAACTTGACATAATGCTTCCACTGGCTCTGGCATGCAAAGATGATTCTTTTCAGGAAATTAGAGCAAACTTTGTGGAGGCCTGTTGTAAAGTGGCAACAGCTGTCCTGGCCAGACTGCAAGAGAGAAGCAAGGAGTTTCCCTCCAAAGCACCCCTGAAAAACCTGCACACGCTGCTCTCCACGGCTGTGTATGTCTTCCAGCATTTTATGCAATATGATCGTGTGATGAAAGAAAATGCTAAGAAGTGAGTGTCATTTATACTAAGTTGATGGCCATGCTTGCAGTATCATCTAATCTTTGGGTATCACAGAAGTGGAATCTTGATCATTGTATTTGAGAAGGAGAAAATAATCATTAATATGGTGAATTATTTTCATTTTTCTTGACTAGGAAATGTCAAAAAGGTAGAGCATAGGTTGTATTAAACCAGATATACAGATAGTAAGAAAGATACGTATGCCCTCTGAAGGCCCATTGGGACAACCTTTGCATTTCCCAGACTCTCTAGTTTGGAGGAACTGTCTTCAGCATGCTGTTATGACGTGACCAAACAAAGCCTTTCCATTCCACAAGGCCCATTGTACAGATTACACTGAAAAGGAAAAATAAACTTCTCCCTGTCACACAAAACAATATTTGTGGAAAATGCCCTTCTCTTTGGTTCCTAGACCAACTAGATGTTAGGAGCTGGCCTAGAGAAGAGATGCATTTCTGACTATTCTTGTGACCAACGTAACCTTGTCTCAGAACACCCATTTCATAGACGCTATCCTTCATATGTGAAAAGAAAGCATTGACCGTCTCAATTCTCAGGTATTAGTGGTCCAAAAAGACCAAATGTTTTCTGGCTAGAGAACAGAAATGACCAGATGTATAATGACATGGTCTATCTGACTTCTCTTGTACTCTCTAGAAGACCCCATGGCCCTTTGCAAAGGGGACGTGTAGACTGGACACTCCAGTGTGAGCCCAAGAATCTAGTCTGTATTCCTTATTCAGCCTTTGCAGTCCTTTTCTAGTAATGAGAGGAAGCATAAGAGAGTGTACTAAAAATAGCTAGAGATAAAAGTAAATTTGGCTTGATGTAGGATATAACTATGATTTTCTTTAATTCCCTTAAGTAGTCAGATGTTGTGATTCATACTTGAATTTATAAACAAAATGTGCCAGCAGTCCCTTTATTTCTGTAGAATATTGTAAAACAGTTTATGAGATAATTGACAGCTACAAAATTACAATTTTTAAAATAAAAAGACTGTGTTTGTGGGACGTGTGATAGCTTTATAAAAGTTGGTTCTGACAAATGCATGTTGTTCTCTGTAATAACGATAACCTAATGCCTAAATAATGCACTGATCTCTAATAATAGGCTTACAAAGAATACTTTGATTTTTGAATGATGTATTGACAATGCAGTTTGTCTCAAGTTGAAGCGCATATTTGCGGAACAGCAGATGTACGTTTTCAAAGGACTTGCAAAACAAAGACCAGCTTTTTTTTTTTTCTTTTTGGAAAGTGAATGGGGATGCAGACTTCAGCATTAGGAGGAAATGAATGATTGATATCTAATAATCAAAACCATTTGTAGTACTGGAGATTGTTACCTCCTACTGCACAGGCCTTAAATCTCTATCTCTTTGATCATTCCCTCTGAACAGACCCATATTCCTGGTGCCTATCCAACGATACCAGGAATTCATCAACAGCCTGCAGTTTCAGGTTGCGGACTACTGCGTCAGAGTTTGTGCTACAAGCATTTTACAGGACGCTGAGAGCCACCATTGGGATGACTACACAGCTTTTTATGAGGTGTGAAGTTAAGTTTACTACCCCTCCTTTTTACACAAATATGTTTTACTGCCTACCTGCTTTCCGGCTAATTAGAAACATGAGCTTGGCATTCCTAACACACGAAGGCTGTTAGGATAATATTTTTTAAATATTGAATTTATACTTGGAAAAACACTGTTCTTAAAAACCTGAAATAATTAGAACACTCCTTCTGCTTAAAAATAAAAATAACTTAATTTGAGCTGCAGTGTTTCTGTGCTATATAAAAAGTTGGAATGTAATGGGATACAAGTAAAACTCAAGGAGAAAACAATGCCACAATATAATACTACAACCTTGTATTGTTTTCAAAGGGACCAGTAAGAGGTATCCTTGCACTTTTTTCTTGTTCTATATTTCCATCTGTGTTTGATAAATATTTTTTATTAAACAGCTTTATTCTTTTTATACTTATTTTCCCTTCTTATTGTGTGTTCTTATGAGTGTGCTTTAAGACCCATCTGATCATTTATAGCTTACCTATTTTCATTTAACCCATGTTTTGAAATCCCAAATTTCTACTGAATTAAAGCCTAATGATTCCTAGTGCCACCAAAACCTGGATCAATTAAAATTATTCATCATCTGGCTTCACTAGTTCCCCTTCCTCTGAATCCCATTGATTACACATAAACCACAATATTTGAAATCCCTTGAAGTGGATTTCAGAGCAGAGTGAAACATTTATAATATCTTAATCAAGATAATCAACATTTTCAAAATGTCATCAGTCAAGCCCACCTTCCATAGTTTTTCCAATGTATGCCTTCCTCCAGATTGAAGCTTGTGATTTTTTTTTCTTGATTGTCCTGCTAACTGTGGAGTATTGAGAAAAACTGAGTGGAGTTTTGTTCAGTGAACTCACTCCTGTCACCTTGCTGACACCATGGCTCCATTTATGCGGGGGTTATTATCATAATAAATGTTGTCACAACAGAGAGGAGCAGCTTAGAAGCTTTTTAAAAGGGCTTTCCACGTTTTCTAAGACCATTTCATCTCTCCTTTAGAGCCCCTTCCCAGATACCTTTTCTTTCTGCAAAAGCATCTATATAGGGTTTTCCAAACCCGACGCGCTTCAAACAGCAGCGAGCAGAATGAAAACGCGAAAGTGGTATGGTGCAGCTGGTAGCCTGAGATAAGAATAAAAGTATTGGTCTCCCCTCTCCTGGCCGCGTCCCAGCTCCCTTATTTGCCTTGAGGTAAACAGAGAGGTTGAAAATGAATCCATCTCATGTTTCAAACTATTTCAACGTGTCAGTGCGCTGATGAGCAATTTTATATGAAGTTTCCATTGAAGAACAAGTATCCTCTCACTATCCGTCCAACACAGGGATATGTTTCCTTTCATGCAAATTGGGAGCTGGAAGAGTCATACAGTGTAAATAATAAGTAGATGCATTGAGAACCTGTTATTGAAGTTACCAAGTATTTAAAAGAAAAAAAAAAACCAACAAATTACCACATAACATGCAGCTCTTGGATCTTAGGACAAGGCTTTAGCTTCCAAGACAGAAATAACGAGATAGCTAGCCTGTGATTACATGGTACTGTAGCTTCCATATACTTACATGGTCAGTAGTTACAATTTAATTGCAGAGTTAGTGATGGTTATTTATGCTCAGAAAAAACATAGTGATACTTGCTTTTCTGTTTACCAAAAATAAGAACCTTCTAAAAACAACACAGATTTTAAGTGGTTTTGATAACTGGAGTACCCGACATGATTTTATCCCGTTTCCTACACCCCTCTCTCCTCCTCTCCCCATTATTCCAGCTGATTTGTGAAACAGGACTGGTAGGAATGTTTGAAGGGGCAAGGCGATGAAATCTGCCCGACTGGAGGTGGAGGGTAAGATAGAGATCTTGGGGGATCCTATCACCATGTGCAGAGTGTAGTGAAGAAATAGTGAAAGAATTGATAAGATATGGAACAATATTTGCTCATGTATTGTGATAACAAGCGAGCCCTAGATACATCATTTCCATTTTCTGACCTGTCAGGTTGAGAGAGCCAAAGACTTCAGAATCACTCCGATGAGGTGCTGGTCAGATGGCACAGTGGGTATTCAAATTACATGTTTAAAATCCAGCTTTTAGTATACTTGACATCTGCTCAATTTTAGCAACTTGTGTTTTCTAATAGTCAGAGAATAAAGAATTGTCTGTTCAAAGATAATATTGAGTGGCTTATATAATAAAGCCCAGCTGCTTGTTTCCTGATATATAATCTAAATAAAAGTTCACATCTGTTTGTATTATAGCGGGTCTACAAAAATAACAGATGTTTACTAGCAGAATACTTTTGAAATGACAACAAATAGGGAAACAGGTCAGAAAAATAAATGAATCACATTTAATTTAATGAAAGCCCTTGCATACAGAGAAGCTATAGACATTTTGAAGAAAATTGCGAGACAGATGACCAGTTTCGAATGTTTTTAAGTGAACATGAAGTTCATATTTTTAAAAGTCTTAAAAATAAGTATCTTTCACTTTGAGGGGAAGAAATAGGTGTGCCTAAAGTTATTTTTATTTTCTCATTTATTGCTCAAAGGTGGCTATTCAGGAGACTAGTTTTTATATTTTGAAAAATATGAGAAATCATGTTGGCCATGTTATTATGGGCACCTGCTTACTGACATGGAGGAAGTATAAATCATTCAGACCAGTCATGATATCAGCTGGGTTGGTTTTGCTCTACTTAACATACAACACAGAAAGTAATAAAGAAAATAAAGTATTAAAATTCTTTTCTTACATAAGGAAATTTTGTAAAGTATTCTTTATCACAGAACACACAACAAAGAAAGTATAAGAAACTATGATTTGCAACTTCTACAATAAATTTTTTTTAAACAGTTTTGACGTACATTTGGTCAGAAAATCAAAAGTGGCCAAAGTTCCCACCAGTTTGAACTTGACTTTTTGACATTTTGATATCCAAGTTTCCTACCCAACAAGAATAATTCTGCTCATTTATAAACTCCATTTGAAGGTCAGTAGATAATAACTATAGATTATTATGATTACAATGACTACAAAAGAATTTAGTAATCAAAGAAATTACCAGGAGAATAATATGTAAGGAATATATACATAAGAAACTATCAAATTTAGGTATAGGAGAACATTAGTTCAGTTCAGTTCAGTCAGTCGTGTCCGAATCTTTGTGACCCATGGACTGCGGGACATCAGGCCTCCCTGTCCATCACCAACTCCCGGAGTTTACTCAAACTCATGTCCATTTAGTCAGTGATGCCATCCAACCATCTCATCCTCTGTCGTCCCCTTCTCCTCCCACCTTCATTCTTTCCCAGCATCAGGGTCTTCTCAAATGAGTCAGGTGGCCAAAATATTGGCGTTTCAGCTTTAGCATCAGTGCTTCCAATGAATATTCAGGACTGATTTCCTTTAGGATGGACTGGTTGGATCTCCTTGCAGTCCAAGGGACTCAAGAGTCTTCTCCAACACCACAGTTCAAAAGCATCCATTCTTCAGCGCTCAGCTTTCTTTATAGTCCAACCCTGATATCCATACATGACTACTGGAAAAACCATAGCTTGGACTAGATGGACCTTTGTTGGTAAAGTAATGTCTCTGCTTTTTAATATGCTGTCTAGATTGGTCATAACTTTTCTTCCAAGGAGCAAGTGTCTTTTAATTTCATGACTGCAGGCACCATCTGCAGTGATTTTGGAGCCCAAGAAGTCAAGTCTCTCACTGTTTCCACTGTTTCCCCATCTATTTGCCATGAAGCGATGGACCAGATGCCATGATCTTAGTTTTCTGAGAACTAAGAGAACTAAGCAGAATGGAATTGTTTAAAATGATGTTCGTTTGAGAAATATAAGTAGTGTGTGAAATAGAAATTTTAAGTCAAAAGGATTACTTAAGAGATAAAATGAGAAGTTTTTCTCATTTAACTTTTGATATAGTAGTGTCATCAGGATAGTTTTGGAAGAACACATTCTTCATATAATCTATTTCAAGTATTCTTTTAATCTGGTCTGAAGAAAATGAGGAAACTCCTAGCATACCTCCCTGAGAGCCTGTTAACTAATTATTGATTGTAATTCACTTGAGGTGACCTTCTCATTTCTGCTTATTTCCCCTTGGCTTTGGCTGCTGTTGGGTCTCACTCTGTGGTCAGGGAAAATTTGACAGGAAAAAGGTCTGTCGAGAGGTGGAAAGGAGTGAGAACCTGGCCCTTTGGAAGTATAAAGTACTGTAAAAATACTAAGAAATGATGATACCATCTGCCTAGGCTTTACAAAACCTTGCAACATCAGACGATTTTAGGATGTGTTTCTAGTACTGTTGTTGAAACTCCACGGATGAAATAGCCTAATATAATCATCTTTGGTGACCCCCACTTTGTTTTCATGCGTGTTGATAAGTACACAGTGTGCAAGTTTATGTTTGCTCCTGTCATTTCATTGTAATGTGAAATCTAAACCATTTTTAAGATGATCTCAATGATGTTAATAATCCCAGGAGAATATACATACTTAATTTAAATGATTACCCTTTAATTTTAGAAGAATCAGCCCACTATCTTAGACTAAGTCTTGCTGACTTTCTTTAGCAGCTACAAAGATGATCATTTTAAGGTAAATTTTAAACTCCGGACCAGGAGTAGGTAAATCAAGGCTACCCTAGGTTTGCTTTTGCTTGTGGTCTGGATTTGCACTAGAATATCTGATCTCATAATTAAAATAAAACATATGTTTCTTTGTCAATAAGAATGTTTTACATCTTGTCAAAAATCTTTCTTGGTTATCTAATGTGTCCAACTCTCCAGCTATTATTTCCTTTCAGCCTGAACTAATTAAATTCATAGGAAGCAAACTGACATTTGGTAAGATGCGATCCTCTTGTTTAATGTGTGGTGGTTTTGCCAGGGGGAAAGATGCTCCTTCTCGCTCCAGATGTGGCATTATTTCTTCTGGGCGCTTCATCACGACCTCTGGACCATCCTGCCCCCTAAATTAGCCCAGGAGATACTAGCAGAAGTGCTGGAGAAGTCTTTGGGTCTCCTGGCCTCCAGATATGCCCGGGCCCATCCCAGTTATAAGAGAACCCTACAGATAAGGTAATTGAAGTCATGAAAACCATTACTTTTCAAGAAAATGTTTGTCAGGTGTATAAAGCAGAATGTGCTTCTGAATCTCATGATGTAACTCCTTGTATATTTAACATGTTTCTAACATCTGAAAGGAAATCATATTCAATTCTCCTGAGATACTTAAGTGCAAATGTGGAACTTGAATCAAAATAGCTTTGTTCTTTTTTCTCCTTAAAATTGTATGTAAAACCCACTTTTTTTCTAAAAAGTGAGTCAAGTTGTATTACAATCTAGAACATAGATATCCAAAGGTTAGTAAATAAGATAAAGAGAGAAAATTAAAGTCCTGAAATGGAGAGGAAAGCTGCGGTGCTGTGATGAAGTAATTTGACTTTGAGATTCCAGGCAACCAGGGAATTTTACTTTCGGGGTTTTTTTTTTTTTTTAATGCCTTTAAATATTGTAGTTCATCTTCATTAGGGAAACTCTTTTATCTAATCATTTTTCTCAACATATTCTAACTACTTCCTCATCTTTTCCTTTTCTTTTTGTTATGTATTACTAAAAAATAGTTCAACAAAATGTGAAATCACAGAAAATGAGGAGCAGCAGTCATGAAGTCTTAAAGACTGAATTATAGGCCAATTCTGAAAGAAATCAGTCCTAAAGGAAATGAGTCCTGAATATTCATTGGAAGGACTGATGCTGAAGCTAAAACTCCAATACTTGGGCCACCTGATGCGAAGAACTGACTCATTAGAAAAGACCCTGATGCTGGGAAAGACTGAAGGTGGGAAGAGAAGGGGACGACAAAGGATGAGATGGTTGGATGGCATCACCGGCTCAATGGACATGAGTTTGAGCAAGCTCTGGGAGTTGGTGATGGTCAGGGAGGCCTGGCGTGCTGCAGTCCATGGGGTCACAGAGAGTCAGACACAACCGACCAACTGAACTGAACTGAACAGGCCAGTTCTATGGGTTGTCTAGACAATGAATATTACAGAAATGTGCATACATGCCAGCAACGGTCTATACAAAATGAAGGCTTTTGTTTTTATAAACATTCTGACATTCTGTAATTGAGACCTCCCTTTTAGGTATAAATTTTTTTTTTTTTTCAGATATGTTAGGAAGAGCCTAAAGACATCAGAGGCTTTATTATTTTTTTCAGTAGGAATTATTTTCTGATCAAGCATGCTGCATGTGAGGGCATTTAGGTCTTGCTACAGTGTTTCATAAATATGGTATTTTTGAACAAGCTGTTTCAAATTACTGACCAAGCATTTAAAAAAAACACACAGTGAATTCTGAAGAAGAAATAGAAAATTCCTTTTGAAAGCAAAGGATACCTTCATTCTTTTCCTTATGTAGCTTACATCACTTCTCTGTGAGGTGACAAGTCATTTTGAGATAACTTATGAAATCAGATTTACTATCAGCTCATGAAATAGGTAGTATATTTAATTAATTAACTGTACTATAGAGACTTTTGGCTTCTATTTTCTGAGTACATAAAAATGTCATGCAAAGCTAGACTTATCTTTCCTAGTTTTTATAAGTTACATATTTTTATTTGAATGATTATTTCTAAAATATCCATTTTGTAGAAATCAGATTTCACAGGCAAGTGTTTGTGTCTGTGTGTGTATATATATATGTGTATATATGTATATATATATATCTTGAATTTGCAGTTCTTTAATTAGCAACTAGAGTGAGTGGATGCAAACTACAATTAAACCTTCCTAAGGGTGATTCTGGATGCTCTTAGAATTCTAGCTTCCAACTGTCATATAACAAAAACCATGTATTATATATATATTGTTCAGTCACTCAATCATGTCCAACACTTTGCGACCCCATGGACTGCAGCACGCCAGGCTTCCCTGTCCATCACCATCTCCCAGAGCTTGCTCAAGCTCATGTTCATTGAGTCGGTGATGCCATCCAACCATCTCATCCTCTGTCATCCCCTTCTCTTGCCTTCGATCTTTCCCAGCATCAAGGTATTTCCCCAGTGATTCAGTTATTCACATTAGGTGGCCAGAGTATCAGAGATTAAGCTTCAGTATCAGTCCTTTCAATGAATATTAAAGGTTGATTTCCTTTAGGATTGACTGGTTTGAACTCCTTGCATACATATATGTATATATGCAAGGAAAATATTTATTTGATATGAAAATTTTAATTTATGTTAATTGGTTGATATTAATATAAGTTAATGTTATTTGCATATATGTGTAAGGAGAACAAGTATTAAATTTGTGGCAAATATTTGTGACAAATTTATTTAATATTGCGAAGTTCTGAAACTATAAGCTTTTTCATTTGTGCTTCTGGTTCCATTTTTTTTTTTTTCGCCTCCCACATGCTGGGAGAACATGTTGCTCAATCTTGTACCTTTCTTTTTATATCTTGTACTTGGATGAGAAGATCATTCTGCTATCAAATTTTTACCTATCATATGTATGTGGATAATAGAGAACTTTCTTTTAACCTGACTTTTCTTTTGCTGAATTTAATTTCAAAGAAAGTCTCTTGAGATTCTTGAAGAGGATCTTGATAATACAAAACAGACTCTTTTTCCTATTTTAAAAAAAGCACTTCTGCAACACTTCACTGCTATATAGACTTCGCCATCTCTAAAGATAATGAATGTTGTTGTGCTCAGTAGTGTCCGACTCTCCGCAACCCTTTGGACTGTAGCTCATCAGACTCCTCCCGTCCGCGGGATTTTCCAAACAAGAATACTAGAGTGGATTGCCATTTCCTCCTCCAAGGGATCTTCCTGACCCAGGGATCGAACTCGCCTCTCCTGTCTCCTGCATTGAAGGCAGTTTCTTTACCTACTAAGCCATCAGGGAAGCCCAATGCATGGTATTATGGGTCAGCTAACACTTGGAAACTCAAAAGCTTTCTGTGATGCTTTGTCTGTTTTTGATCTCTGAATCTCTGATATCTAAGCAAATATTTCTATTCTTACATATGTTTAATGTAATAGATATAAATGATAGTATGCATACCAAGCAGAGAAAACAATTTTAACATGATTTTCTTTTTTTTCTTTCCAACAGACTTGATGTCACAACAATTTTAATTTGCACTGAGAACATGTTATGGTCAGTTTGCACATCTGTACAGAAGCTTTTGAATCCTCATGCATATGTAGATGATAAAATTTTTAAAATTCATACCCACTGTAATAATCTCTTCATAACATTAGTTATTTTGACTTCGCCATTAACAGAATTACACCAGTAAGTATCAAATGTATTTTCTTTTGAGCTACTATGATATATAAAGTAATGTGATTTCATGCTGCTTACTGAATTGTGTGAAGGAGCAAGTAGAAATTTATTGAAGCGCAGTTTTGATATTGAGAGTTGAACCATTTTACAAAACTAACTCTAACCAACAGGGGTTTCTTCATTCGTGAAGTTATTTGATCCTAATAATGTGGTATTTCTCTATTGATTGATCCTATTCAGTTGATAAGGCTCTAATACAAGCAGGAATGTTTTGAGCATCATTATTTGAGTTGTTTAAATTCTCAAATTTTATTCATGGATTGATTTGTCTATGAAAAAATAAATCATATCCCAATGGCTTTATGCTCCTCTTAAAAATACCTTTTAATTTGATATAAATGATTTTCTCCCTAATAAAAAAGATTTTTTAAATGATTATAAAATGCTCTCTAGTCTGGAAGAGATATAGTGTTTCCAGTTACTCTGTCATAGATTTGCATTTTTAGTGTTGGACTTTAGTGACTGAGCTAGTAATGGGAAGTGGAAATAGTAGTAAGTAATTATTTTTTAAATGTTGAAATATTTACTTAGCTAAACAAGTAAGATTCAGGGAAATTAAAAAAATTTGAACTGCTTTTCTGGTTAATTTCATTCAAATTTGTAATATGATAAAAGAAGTTAGAGTAAATCTTATAATGAAACATTAATGTACTTTTGTTTAAACCCTCCTCCAAAGTAGTCAGTTTATCTTAAAAGATTAAATATTGCATATTCTTAGTTTCTTGGATAGTAAAAATTACACAGACTTCTATTTCTTAAGATAAATTTGACAAAGTATTTGTTTCTGTACCATCCTGGTAAAGGCAATATATAAATCTTGATTTTTGGTAAATTTTGTGTTAGAAATTCTAAGAGTAATTAAGTTTTTTCAAAATTTCCCTGTAATTTTCACCCACTCTTTGACTTTCAGCAGACCCATTGTTTACAGATTGCTTCTTCTGGAAACCTTTCAGTTGAGATCTAATTTTAGAAATGGAGAATTCTTTCAGAAAGGGAAAGAAATAGTGAGATTAATTGCCATAAATTTGGGATTATATGCATAATGGTGCATAATCACAAAAAGCTCAAGTTCTGAAGCCCATAATAAATCCTAGTAAACTAAACTGATTTACCATAGATGAAAAAATTACTATGCTCTTAGTTCAATGGGTCATTTCATCTAAGGGGAAGGCCCTGTGAAAATCAGGAACAAAGTTGACAAATTTCATGGATTGGTCATGGTGAGCAATATTGAATTTCACGGTCTGTCACAGATGAATAGAAAAATTTTAACCCCCCAATGCATTTGTAAAGCAAATAAATTATTATCAAAGGTTGCATATTTTAATAATGATAATAATGTAACACATTCATTATTGTTAACCTGTGACCTTTTGATACATTTTTAAACAACTCTGCAAGTACTCAGATCTCTGTGATTTGTGCATTAGATATTGCACTGTAACCTCATTCAACAAATTTAAATTGCTAATTTCAACCAGAATTGCAGAACATTTTATACCAAGCACTGCTTCTGTTTTTTTTTTAATATAAAACATAGATAGTGGTTTTCCTTTAAAGCATGAATAAAAGTCTATATATACTTTCATTTTTTATTATTTCTCAGATCATAAAAATTTTCACAGATTTTATCCATTCATGTTGTTATAAAATTTATGATTGCTTTCCTAGAGTATAAATCTAATTTTTAAAATATATTTTGCTTTCTATTGACAAAGGAAATCTACAGGGCAACATGTTCCACACCTAATAGGAAAAAAAAATGTGTGTGTTGCAAGAACTATATTGATTTATTTAGCTTCTTTTCACAGCCAGGATATGAAGTTGTCATATTAGCATTTCGAGAAAAAAATTGTATATCTATCTCACATTTAAAAATTAGGCTGTATGCTTTGAGGAATTGGTTAAAAGTAGCAGTCAGATGTTGATAGCATTGAATTTTTATAAACTATGCCTGACATTTGTCACTCTATGTGATATGCCTTTTTTGAAGGTGACTGCTTTTATTCCAAGTAGTTCTGACAGATAAACTGAATGCATTCTCGTCTATGAGCTTAGCATAGGACTACTAAATCCCAGGGCAGAAATATGATTTTTAAATCTTTTCAGAAAGAATGAAATGTGTTTGCAAAAATGTGTGTCCTTTTTTAACTCTCCTTTGTAGATTTCTGTTAGCATGTTGTAAAAGGAGTACTTTAGGTTTGTCCTCCAGGGAAAGAGACCTGCTGAAACATAAAATATTCACAGTATATTTTCCAAAATGCTTATTGCTGTGGTTATGCTTATCTTCTTTCATAAAGGCAGTCAGGCTGCACTTTCAGATGTGTACTCAATGCACATTCACACACATACGCCAATAGTGGTTTCATGTATTACATTTACTTGCACAGAATGTTAGTTTCAGTTTCTATCTAGCAAATTAAAGTTAATTTTTAGAATTTTAAGTAAATACAATTTAGTTTCAATTCATTAAATACTGTTGCTTCCTTAGGCCCTATGATTAAGCACCAGGATTAAACACAGCTGTCACATCAGGGAGCAAGTTGAAATATTCACCCTCAAGTATTATAGGAAAGTCTGGTAAAATTTTTAGTGTTGAAATTGAACATTATATATATTTCCAAATGTTTTGATTCATCCTGTAAAAATTAAAAGTGGGAACTTTTTGAAGGTTGATTGTCTCCAATGTTACCTCATCTAATAACATGGGAGAATGAATTTCAGTGCAAGTTTACCAACATGCCAGGCAAAGGCTGGGTCATCAGAAATAGGCCAGAATGTTGATCCCTGTGCCAGGGAACAGCAGACCTGTCTTTGGGGTTCACTTGTCATTCACATGACTTTTGAGTCACTAAATTCCAAGGTATTTCAGTGCTTGTTCTATAGTTTGCTTTCAAACTGGTGCTAGGTGTTTGAAGGTTAGCTTGTTTATTTCTTTAGTTATTTGAAATTACTTCACTGTCCCTAATGAAACAGAACATGTTGGACTAAAACTTTTTCTTTCATACCTCAAGAATGTCTGCTGCACTGGAAACAGATGTTCCTCCAAGTGGTAAACATAGGGGATGCTCATGGACAGTGTTGAGCATCATGGTCATATGACACAGGAACTTTACTCTTAGGTATGTACACAAAAGAAATGCAAACATATGCCCATGCAAAGATTTGCACACAAGAGTTCATAGCAGCATTTTTCATAGTAGCACAGAGTGGAAAGAACCTGTGTCCATCAACTGGTAAATAGATAAACAGTATGTGGCATATCCATACAGTAGAATATTATTCAGCCACTAAAAAGAAATGGAATACTGACAGATGCTACAACAGGGATGAACCTCAAAACCTGCATGCTAAGTGAAACAAGCCATACACACGGAGTACATATAGTGTGAATCAACTTGTTAGAAACTTCCAGAATAAGCAAATCTATAGAAACAGAGTGTCGGGCTTCCCTGGTGGCTTAGTTGGTAAAGAATCTGCCTGCAATGTGGGAGACCTGGCTTCCATCCCCGGGTTGGGAAGATCCCCTGGAGAAGGGAAAGGCTACCCACTCCAGTATTCTGGTCTAGAGAATTCCATAGACTGTATAGTCCATGGGGGTCACAAAGAGTTGGGCACGACAGAGTGACTGTCATAGAGACAAAAAGTAGATTAGTGATTGTCAGGGGCGGGAGAGGAGGGGAGAATGGGTTTCTTTTGAACCTAATAAGAAAATGGTATAAAATTAGATAGTGGTGAAAGTTGCATAACTGTGAATATAAGAAATCATTTAGTTGTGTACTTAAAATGAGCAAATATTGTGGTATGTGAATTATATATCTCAATAAAGTTGTTAAAAATGAATGTGGACTAGATGGAAATAGAAACAAAAATATGTAAAATGTGTTTTTAAAAAAGTGTCTGGCAGAATGCAAAAGGATCCAGTAAACAGAGTTCATTCTCTGAGCCATTTTGTTTAGATTAAATGGCTCCCCTTGTACTCTTCCATCTAAACATTATTTTTAAGGGAAATATCTGTTTAAAAAAAACAAACTAAACTAAAATCGCTTTATGGGTGGTCTTAAAACAGTAAAACACTGGTAAACAGCAAGTCATTGCTTTTGAGGAAGGCCAGTACCCTGAATCTCTAAGTAGCTGGTTCCTGCCTGGTACTCTAGGATCGAGTCTTGTTCTGATTCTTCACCATATGTCCTGTTCTCAGTCTACCCCTTCGCTCTGTACCACCCAAGACTGACTTCACAGATGACCGCAGAAATTCACCCTCCTTTTCACTAAGCAAAGTCTGACAATATCTTCTGTTTATTCACTCCTTTAAAAAAAAAAAAAAAAAAACAGTATTTACTATGTAGGAAGATCCCCTGGAGAAGGGAATAGCAGCCCACTCCAGTATTCTGGTGGCTCAGATGGTAAAGAATCTGCCTGCAATGCAGGAGAACTGGGTTCAATCCCTGCATTGGGATGATCCCCTGGAGGAGGGAATGGCTACCCATTCTGACATTCCTGCCTGGAGTCCATGGACAGAGGAGCCTGGTGGGCTACAGTACATGGAGTCTCAAAGAGTCAGACATAACTGAGCAACACTTTTTTAGACCAGACATTAGAGCAGTCATTTTCTAACTTCAGGGCATCATTTTCAAACCTCAAAGAGGTATTTTCTATCTTGAGAAACACAAGCCAGGGGCAGGAGAAATGTTGGAAGCCTTATTGTACTCCAAGTATCTTACTTTGATTTCTTTCACTTAATGACAAGGAGCTAGTAGCCCTGCTTAAAGAAAAAGCAGTGACTTTGAACTATGTTTAAATGGTGAAGTAGATTGAATTTGGTTATCTCTACATGGGCTTCCCTTGTGGCTCAGCTGGTAAAGAATCTGCCTGCAATGCAGTAGCTGCTGCTGCTGCTAAGTCGCTTCAGTCCTTTCTGACTCTGTGCAACCCCATAGACGGCAGCCCACCAGGCTCCCCCGTCCCTGGGATTCTCCAGGCAAGAATACTGGAGTGGGTTGCCATTTCCTTCTCCAACTCATTAAAGTGAAAAGTGAAAGTGAAGTCGTTCAAGTCGTGTCCAACCCCTAACGACCCCATGGACTGCAGCCTACCAGGCTCCTCTGTCCATGGGATTTTCCAGGCAAGAGTACTGGCATGGGTTGCCATTGCCTTCTCCGGCAATGCAGTAGACCTGGTTTCAATTCCTGGGTTGGGAAGGTCCCATGGCGAAGGGAAAGGCTACCCCTCCAGTAGTCTGGCCTGGAGAATTCCATACTGTGTATTCCATGGGATTGCAAAGAGTCAGACATGACTAAGTGACTTTCACTCATTTACTCTTATATTCATGGTTAGTCAACTATGGCTTTAGGGGCATCAGAAGGACTCATATATCCTCAGTTATCTCAGGTATTCCAGTGTTATCACAATAGTTCAGTCTCAAGCTAATTTGCCTTCTTCTGAAATGTGGTCTTCTCTTGTTATTTTTACTTATTGAGTACCTCCAGTGGTAGCTACAGATGATACCAGACATTTGACCCGAACCCTCTGCCCTGTGAAACTTGCATCCTTGGACTTCCTCAATTCCATCCTGGAGATTTATTTCAGTAGCATCGTATCCTGAGACTCAGTCTCCTGGGAGGGCAGTCAAAAGCAGGGTGACCGATGGGTTATATGTACTCCTGAAATGAATGGCGAAAACACATTCTGGGATGTGGATGGAAGCACGGTGCCCCCTGAATGGCATCGTTGGCTTCACTGTGTGACTGATGATCCTCCAACAGTAGAACCACCTACTGCTCATAAATTCATCTGGACAAGCCATAAGTTCCATCTGAGTGGCAATCCTTATTCCACCACCAGAAAGAAGATTCAGGAGTGGGTCCCACCTTCAACACCTTACAAGTAAAGACAACGAAAAGCAATTTACATGTAAAATATGGGGCTTTTCCTATAATTGTACTGGTTACTGTTAACTTGATTAAAGTTATTTGATTAGGCAAAAAAAAAAAAAAAAAAGGCAGCATGGCACAAGAGAAGCATAAAACCCAGCTAACTCTTTTTAGTATATCAGTTTACCCCAATTTTGATATGCATTGAATTTATTTTATTCTAGCAGCAACTGGCTACATAAGCCTAAGGAGTCAATCAGTGCTGTTAATGAGAAATGGAAGGAAGGCAACATGTGTAGATGAGGAAACCAAAGAGATAGAATCTGGCATAGTGTGCTCAAGTGGGGTGGTGTGATCAACCCAGAGCCACTATGATGTTAATGATAGAGAAGGGGTGTGACGTTGGAGGCAAGGCAAGGAATTTCCCCAAATTTATCTTTTTTCCCTTTAAGAGGCCGCTAATTTGGAAAGCTGAGAAAATGTATTCTACTGCAACCTGCAGAAAATTACCTGTTTTTAAAGGAGTATCCACATTTGCAATATCAAAATTCTTTAATGTCTTGTGAAGAATATAATTCTGTTGCTCATACGGTTGTATTTTACTCTCCACTATGAATTATTTAGAGCATCTTCTATTTTAACTGTACACCAAGACATCATTAGAGGTTATCTAATAGCTAGATCATCATTTCATTTTCCCATGGAGGCTTGTGGGCCAATTTTCACCCTGTTATACTCTCCAGAATAATGAAACTAATTTGGGATCTTGCTGTGGAATTAAATGCTCATACGGATCCCACCTCCTCTGAGACCATAAACATCTGCCATAACATTTATTATTGCCAAATAACCTTACTATTACCAGTGCAACTGTCAGTGGAGGAAAAGAGTTTAGGGACTGGCAGAAATGTTCTCAGAAGTATTGCATTGCCAGTGGTTTTTAGTCTAAGAATTTTGGCACCAAATAACCATTTTATTATTATTAGATCCTCCATTATTTTTCCTAATGTTGAGGATACAACTATACCTAGACAATCATTTAGAGCACTAAGTATTCCATGTCAGTTCTGAGGTTGTAGGCCTTCTCAAGAAGTATTTGCTACAGTTGTTATAGTACTGGTATTACTTGACATGTGCTGAGCCCTTATGATGCACAAGGCACTTTGCTAAGGGCTTTGTATGTGTCATCTCAATCATCACACTTGCCAAACAACATTACGCATCTAATAAAGAGCCCACCCAAGATTCCAGCCCAGGATATCTGGCTCCAAAATTCCTGCACATACTCAGGCAGGTTCATCTATGATCTTCTATGACCCTCCCCTGGGGTATGGAGCAGGCAGCAAAAAGTGAATGTAAAAGGACAGGTGGTAAAGTCCTAACAGGAAGCAAAGCCAATAAAGAGTGAATCATCCAGATTTCTCCTTTTGTCTTCTCCCTTATGCCGTCTCCAACCCCATGTCATTAGGGAATGAATATTGTTAATTTTATTAGTTTTATTTATTTTTATATTTGTCCCATACACATTATATCCTCTGCTTCTTACTTTGGTTTAGGACTTTTCTTCTGCCTGGTTTACTTAAATATCATCTTTATTATCTCCCTTCCTTTAGCCCTAATCTTCTACCATCAACTCTCCTCACTAGTGCACAAGTGATTTTTCTAAGATGGAGAACTGATAAAACTCCTATGCTATAACCATGATCCCTCATTGCTAATACATAGTCCAGACTCTTGAGAAAAGCATGTCTTGGTGTCCTGACCTAGACTGTGCCTGTTTCTCTGGTTCATCGTGGAAGGTATGGAATGGAAATAGGACAGCCTCATTTTGAAGCCTATTTAAGGAATTTTGTTCTATCTGAAATTTAGTGAGGAAAAAAAAAATGGCTTTCAAAGAGGAGATGATCTATTAAAAGTCTAAAAAAATGTCAAAGTATCTTTAATTAGAAGGTATTCTACTTGGCAAGACCAACAGTGGAGAGACAGATCAAGTTTGGGAATGTTGAGGATTCAAGAAGTAGGAAGTAGTGCTCACTTCGGCAGCACATATACTGAAAAAAAAAAAAGTAGGAAGTAGGATGCAAAGGCAGGGGTGGGTTTTCAAAGTGGAATTCCTTTCTACATATTATTTGAAAAATGCTATTGCTCTTGTACTCTAGATGAAGAGAGACAGCACCACTTCAAACAATTCCATTTCTCAAATACTCCCAGCTGTGACTCTTTACTCTATGTAGGCAGGCAAATATAGTTTTCTGTTATTATAAATATTTTATTATCCAAGCTTTCTACTAAAGATTTTATGTAACAAATCCTTTCTTATTACCTCAAGATTTATTGTTGAATTTGGGCCATCCTAGAAAAATGTTATAGTTACTTCTCCAAAGGTAGTTGTAGACCAGTTATTCTGGCCAAATTGTTCTAATTTTGAAATCACCGTCCTATATTTTACAGTTAAATTCTTCTTTATTTGCCTTCTGTAAGCCCTTAGGAGCATACAGAGTTAATTATAAATTATCATTAATTGTTTAATATTTATAAATCATTTTAAAGAGTAAAAAGAAATACCCTTATGCTAAGCATTTTTACAGTATTGAAGCAAAAATGACAAAATATTGACATTTATTAGGTTCCAGTTTAGGGAGGGAGAAATGAGTGATATTCATTTTACCATTTTGATACATTTTTTATAAATTTCATAATGTGAATTTTTTTTTAAAAATTAAATGATAATGGCATCATCATATCTTCCCAAGTGTAAAGGTTGTTTCACAGAGGCCTCTGAATCATCTGTTAAATTATAAATACCAAGTGGGTACATTTGTTCATTCTAGCACAATACTGTTTTGTATAAAATCAGTAACTTTAAATGCTAAGAAAAAAATGGGTTTTGATGGTCTTAATAGTTAATGTTTTCTGTATACTCTGAAATAATGATTTTTATTTCTCTAGGACTTTTCAGCATGGCCTGGGCGATTCTTCTTCAGATTCCTTGAAGCCAGTTTTCAAGCAACCATTACATTGGCTTTCTTGCATAACACATTTCTACCCTTCTTTACTCAGGTGAGAGCCTCTAAAAACTATACCATCTATGATTCTTTGATTCCTTTGAAGTTTAATAGAAACTCTTATTCATGGAGGTAAAAGAACTTAAAAAACTTACAAAAAGAACTTAAAGCTTTTTGACACTACACAGGTATGTAAAGAGTGTATTTCTTTTTTGAACCCAAGAATCCAAGATATAGGCCTCACAGTCATGCTCCTAACATAGCTTTACTAAAGTGATAGAGAAATGTGAATTTTTTGGAATTTAGTTTTTATTTTAGCTAATTGTCTAGCCATTTAAAAATTAATTCTTGATCTATGACTGGGGATGTGACAGTTCTCCAACTAATTGTCAAAAAAAAGAAAAAAAAAGCAATAATCTTGGATAATTCATGTAACTCACTCAGAGCCTGAGGTAAAAGTTGAGAGAGGAGTAACTTTTAAAATTATGAATAGGGTCTTTCACTTTTATTATTTAATTAACGGCATTTAAACATAAGAAAAATCATTTAAAGCATGAAATGTACTTACAGAGTAATCTGATGACATTTTGTGGCATTACGTGTAATGTCAGTTTGAGTCTTTGCTGAATATATCATTGGAAAGTCCCTTTCCTTGGTATCTGTGAATAAATATATCATGTAGAACTGAAGGAGATATTGTTAATTCTTGCACATTCTTGATTCACCTTGGAAATACACTATTAGTGATCTCACCATGTAAATGGACTGACTGTATTTCTCTCTTGAGGAGCAAGAGTCCCACCTGGAAAAAGAGGGCAGGAAAACCTCTTTCACAAGTCTCTATAGACACAGTAAACGTAACTGCTTACCTGTCGTGCGCCTGTCCCCATGTACGTAATGGGGAATCCGAGATTAATGAGATATTTATCCTCCTACCTTCAAGGACCTCAAAGTATTGTTATTTCACTTACATATAAAACATTTTCAACATCCCTGAACAATTCCTTATGACTGATCCCATCAATTCCTTATGATGAAAGCCTTTAATACTCTGTCATCTCCATACGCTGCAGCTGGCATGAAAATATACTCTTATGTCTTTGAGAATTAAATAACTGACTTTGATATACGTTACTGCAAACACCTGAAGGAACTGGATCTTTTACAGTGTGACTTAAGCAAACAGCATGTGTCATTGTGATGAGTTCTCAAAGTTCTAAACATACTTGTTCTCATGTTATTATCACATTTGCTTTAATCTATTTTTATTACCTGCTTTTATCTTAACCTGTAACCATTGGAGTTACTTCTTTAAGCATAGCTCTGTAAGAATTCCACCTCCAGGTTTGTTCTGTTCAGCCATCTAGAGCCTGGGGTGTCAGAGGGTAAATGGGTCTATCTTTCAAATGCCTTATCATGTAACAAGACTTTTCTTTATTTCTGCTTGATTTTAGCAAGCTATCTTTACTATTACCTTCACAAAAAGATTAGAACATGGTGGTAACTACACAACTCACAGTGGAAATGCAACTGGATATAAGTTTTCTGGAGGGCAATATAATAAACTGTATCAAAAACCTTCAAAATATTATGGCACTTTATCCAGCATTTCTATTTCTAGGAATCAATGAGAAGGAATTAATCAGAGCTGTTGAGAAAGTTTCATATACAAGGATATTCATCAGTGTATTATTTGTGAAAGGAAAAAATGGAAATGAATGTTTCACAGTGTGCAGTTGGACAACTCACTTATGAATTAGCCATGTGATAGATGACTGTGGAGTCATTTAAAAGGTTGATTTTGAAAAATATTAAATGGCAAATCATTGCGATGTATAGTTATGGGAAAACTGAAGCTTAGTAATGATGTAGTAATCAAAGCCAACCGAGGCTTTAGAGTGATAACTCTGAAACTGATATGCCCAGTCCTTCATGTACATTATCTCTGTCAAGCCTCACACCCAGTCTGAAGTCTGCTTTCATGGAAAGTAAAGTGATGTGCAGGTAACAACTTTCTGAAGAGAGCAAATCTGGGAGGCAGACTCTGAAACTAGGCTTGTCTGCTCTTAAAGCCCAAGTGCCAGACAACTGCCCCTCCATCCTTCAAAGGGAGGGTGATGTTAACAGGCATTTAAGAAAAACCTAAGATTGTCAGTTATTCATTGTGTAAAGTATCTTTTTATGGTTCGACTTGTAGGCGCTCTGATATACTTACCTATATAGTGTTTACCTGAAGGAGGGATCTAGTGTAAAATTCCCCAAACTTACAGGTTATGAGAACCCCTGTTTCCCAAGGGATGAACAGTTATTGGAAGATGGGACACAATTGAGAAGTGCTGAACATACTGGCTTCCCAGGTAGCGCTAGTGGTGAAGAACCCACCTGCCAATGCAGGAGACATAAGAGACATGGGTTCCATCCCTGGGTGGGGAAGATCCCCTGGGGGAGGGCATGGCAGCCCACTCCAGTGTTCTTGCCTAGAAAATCCCATGGATAGAGGTGCCCAGGGGGCTTACACTCCATAGGGTCACAAAGAGTCAGACATGACTGAAGTGACTTTGCACCCACACACACAAACTATGCCATACTACTCTACACGTGGCATGAAAATAGGATGTATAGAAAAATATTGAAAGGGTGTATAAGCTCTACATTAGAGAACTTTTACTTTACATCTTTGTATGATAGGATTGTGATCGATTTTCATTTTTATCTGTGCATTTTCCAAATTTCCTATAATGAAAGCAGCTTAATTTTATTAAAGTAAAAATACATTTTTAAAGGAAAGAGAAACCTCATTTTTTGGAGTTCTTTGGTCCACATGTATTACCCTAGAGCCTCTGTACAGAGGATTTCTAGCTCTGAGCACTTTCTTTACTCCAGCATCCTGTGTCTGGCTTCCATATTTCTTGAGCTATCCACCGTATTACTGGAAATCCAGCATGATATCCTCAATGGATCCTTCTTTTCACTCTTTCCTTGTTCTCTCAGCATGGTGTCCTTTCTATTAGAGCACGCCAGGCATCCCTGTCCTTCACCTCTCCCCGAGTTTGCTCAAACTCATGTCCCTTGAGTCAGTGATGCCATTCAGCCATCTCATCTTCTGTTACCCCCTTCTCCTCTTGCCCTCCATCTTTCCCAGGATCAGGGTCTTTTCCAGTGAATCGGCTCTTCCCACCAGATGGCCAAAGTATTGGAGCTTCAGCTTCAGCATTAGTTCTTCAAATGAGTATTCAGGACTGATTTCCTTTAGGATTGACTGGTTTGATCTCCTTGCTTTCTAAAGGACTCTCAAGAGTCTTCTCTATCACCACAGTTCGAAAGCATCAATTCTTTGGCACTCAGCCTTCTCACATCCATACATGACTAATGGAAAAGCCATAGCCTTGACTATATGGATCTTTGTCAGCAAAGTGATATCTCTGCTTTTTAGTACACTATCCAGCTTCCATAACTTTCCTTCCAAAGAGCAAGCATGTTTTAATTTCATGACTACAGTCTATTGAGCTCTCTGTTGCCTGTTCCTAGTGTTTTATCATCCTCAGTTGGTTCATCCCCATAGTTCTTAGATCCAGTCAGTCATTCTCTCCAACACATCACAACAACCTTGGTCCATTATTACTATGAACTATTTTTACTATTATTTAATATGTTTTATATTAAATACCATTCTTGGAGAAGGAAATGGCAACCCACTCCAGTATTCTTGCCTGGAGAATCCCACAGACAGAAGAGCCTGGCGGGCTACAGTCCATGGGGTCACAAAGAGTCGGACACGACTGAGTGACTAACAACAACAGAAACACCATTCTACTGCTCAAGAAGAGCCTCCGCCTCCGCCTCTCCCACACCGCCTGGCTTGTTTCCTGGAGGACCCAGCACTCTTTTCTGCTCCAGTTCTCAGTCTCTTCTCTTGTCTTTAAGACATAGTTATTCTACAGGTTTCACTTTTACTTATTGCCTGTTCTTAGTTTTCGGTCTTTTTCTCTCTAGTTTTCTCTCCTGAAACGCCTTTGGTTCTCCCTTTTGCCTGTTTGAATTCCCCACACAAGTACAGGATGAGCCACTCTACCCTGGCTTCCTGACAGTTATTCTCTCTAACCTTCCTATACAACCTGCTTAGGAAGACCTGATCCACGTGATTTATGACCCAGCATGTTCAGAGCAGTGGTACAGTTAGAGGAACCCAGGATAGCAACAAAAGTAATTTTAAAATAGCTCAGCTTACTGATTTGCATCTGTCAAGCAGTAGACTACCATCTTGTGACCTTAAAAATTTCACCTTTCCATTTCCTCACATGTATCAGCTGTTTCTGTGTTTTCATCCCTCAAATTAGGCTCTAAACTCCATCCCTCACCTTAGCAACTAAAATGAACTGTTCAGGGAAGTACATATGGGTTAAATAATGAAGAACTGAAAATAGATTGTCATTTTTTTTTTGAAAGGGTGAGGCTGAGACAAAATATTTAATTATGATGCATCTTAGGAATCTAATCACCTATTTGCTTATTTATTTACAGCTGTGCATTGTTTCAGAAAGATTTAAGTTGACTTTTAACAATATTAAGAAAATGAATTAAAAGTAAGTGAGAAGGAGGATGCAGAGCAAGGAGGACATAAGATTGAGACTTACAACGAGAGTTACAGATGCATAAATAGCTGTATGCACCATTAATTTGTCTATAGGATTTCTAGAGAAAGCCTATGAAGTACATAAATTGGTAAAAATAGAATTGTTCGTGTTCTTCTAGAACTCTTGAATAGTTTAGAAGAGTTTACTTTAGGGGAAGTATATGTATTTTCAAGGCAATAAGTAAAATGTACTGTATTCACTATCCCTAGCAGTAGTAGACTAACAATGTAAGTTGATTTAGAAAGGGCAATCAGTTTCATCCTAGACTAAACTAAGGCATGTGGGGAATATATTAGTCTCAGGATTAATACTACGACAGTATATTGTGCTTTCATATAAATGTTCAAGAAAAAACATTATCTTAGGCAATTATACTATTGTTGCAGTAAAATGTTTTTGTATTTATTTTCCCAACTTTCAT